TCCAGTTCTATAGACTTTCCTTTGACTCCCTCTTCACCCGTCCGGTCTAGCAAACTATCCACATGGTAAATGTAGTCTGCAGCAATCTCTTGGAGCGAGACTCTATGCTCAATTTTGAATCTGATCCTTTGTCTTCTGTCTAAAGGAGACATAAGGCGGTCGTTGGGATTTCTCGAAGTAAACGTCCAGTTTTGACGCGTTGTACTATCAGGAGGATGCACAACATTTTGCAAGGTATCAATTAAATACTCGGTTGGGGTCGGATTGAAGGAAACAGCAAGCTTTTTTGACTTCCTTCGGGGGTTATGCAATTCATTCTGTGGTTTTTCACGTGGCCGTTTGCCATGCGCATCCCGGCTCATCAACGTATTCGTAGTAGGTGGCAATGGCGTTGATTTAGAGGCCTCCTGTGTGAAAGATTTCGGTTTTGACGGGGTCTGTTCGGAGGCTGATGATTTGGAGCTCTGTTCTCTCTGTTGCTGTTCACGGACTGGGCCAGGGGGCACATAGGATTGATTTAACTGAGACTGAAGCCGCAACCCACACCAGAACTCACAAGATGCGTGCTGATCATCATGTCCGACCCGATGTATTTGGTCACGCGAGGATTCGTATCGAGGAGAAATCAAGGTCCCGGCTGAGCTTAGAGACCGTGACAGCGTTCGAGGACCGAGAAACACATTAACAGACGAACTGGAAAGCGCCGTCAGGTACCCTGGATATGTGAGGCTATTATAATACAGCTCCTTAAAATTGAAGAAGAGAAACATGTTAATACAGCACTAAAGAATATTTTGCCCGGGGTTGTTTAATCGGTACCTTCGGCCATACACGGCTACTGAGCAAGTGCGCCGCTCTCAGAGAGGAAACCCTCGAGCGGCTCGGTACATGATTGAAGACCGATGACATCCATAGAGATGATCATGGAGTAACTTCGACGAACTCTAATACCGGTGGACGAGAGTCGAGGGTGCGTCTTCGCTCAAGTGCAACTTAGCAGGTCAACCTAGAGAAGCAGCCAGTCGGCCTGGTCCATGGGAAAAAAGTATACGTCACGTGACGGATCGTCACGAGTTGCGCTTTTGGCATGGCGCGCATGAGGAACATCTCCCTCTTTGCCTGTCTTCCCGCCTTGCTATTGTTACGGGTGCCGACATTATTCCTCCTAGGTTTTTACTTTTTTTGCCCTCTTCGGCTGAATTGATTCTGGGCGTGGTGAGAAACACGTTCATTGCAATTCATCGCTGCGGAGTTGGATATACGTGATTTTATCTTGAAGGTTGCGCACCCTCTCTCTGCTGGGTCTCGTAACTATTGGCGCATCCGCTTCGGAGATCAACGAACACTCGACCATCGGCCTCTCTGTTTAAGGTCGTAATCGTGGTTTTTTTCTGGTTTACCACGTCAATTTATATTCACGAAGTTAGGACCAAGTCTGCGCGCTTGTAGCTCCAGGTGCGATACGCTGTACATTAGGAAAGACCCTTTATTCTCGCGTCAAAGGATTACTGCAATAACGGCGCGACTCCGGAGCCATGAGCGCAGACGAAGGCGGAGGCACAGCTTCCATTCCGACCACAAATGGCGATCTCCATGCTACCACCCCGGATCCGCCTTCGTTGGCGACACCTGCCAAACGAAAGCGTGTGTCAAGTCATGATGACAAAGTCGCTCAAGACGCTGGCTCGTCTGCGTCGCAAGTCCAGGAAAAGATCAAGCTACAGGAAACTCTGCGTAATCTCGTTGAAATATTGAGCAAGTAGGTTCTACTTACTTCTCTCTCCATATATCTGTTCGCGTTCGCACTCAGATGCTGACCCTCAAAAAAGAAACGATACGGATCTTCAACTCCTATCCTGTCCATTGCCGTCATCCCCAGCGAAGCCCCGTTCGAAGCGCGCGAAAGTCTCGGGCGAAAAAGACGAAGCCTTCACTATACAATCCCGAGTCGCTTCGAATCGTTATAACACTCTGTCGGAATTCTTGAGTGATATCGAGAAAGCATCGGCTGCTGTGATTGAGAGGAATAAAGCCCAGGCGAGCGGGCTCCAGGCTGATGGGTCGCCTGTGACCGAAACAGTCAATCGTATCGCGGCATTTAAAAAACTTTTGAACAGTCTCGTTCGTCAGGCACACACGAGCCAGTCGAACATCAAGGCAGAGACATCTGAGGAGGATGCAGAGACCCCGGCGAAATCCAACACCTCCAATGTAGAGACCCGGAACGAGAATCTCGTCTTGACGCTGTTTGGGAACCCAGCTAATCCCAAACAACTATATTCGAGTTTACAGAAATCCGTCAAGGTTCCACTGCCTTCGGACGACCCGAAAGCAGAGAAATATGTGGAGGTGCAAGCGCCACTACGTGAAGTCGGCTTACCAAACGGTATCACGACCACGAAGATTGAACCGTACAATCTTGATGAGAAGCCAGCAGAACCAAAAAGGACTTTTGGGGAAGTTTTTGCGCCTCGGTCAACCTTGCCTCAATTGGAAATGCCACGCAAAACAAAGTCCACCTCTCGAAGTGTTCTTAATGGCTGGATCGACCCATTTGAGGCCATCACCGACTTCAAAGTTTTCCGAGGAGATCGGAATAATTACTGCCTTGCACTCCTGCCCTCTGGTCAGTGGCTCCAGTATGGTGGGGTCACATCGTCCCCGTCTTATTGGAACCGCCGTGATAAACATCAGTCTCAACAGCAAAGTGACGAGAAGTATACCGATGATCCTTCACTGTGTGTTGATGAGGACTCGTCCGTCTTGCAAGGTGTTTACTCATCATTCGCTCCTTCATTCGACAGTTCGGGTGCCGTTGTCCAGGCGAACTCGAAGGATTTGGTATGGTGGAGCAAACGAGGTGCAAGACGTTTAGAGACTTTGCTTTCAATACCATATCAAGAAGTTGCCGAAGTGACGACGTCAGAACGGCCAGGCAATATTGGTGAACTAGACGAAAGTACCCTGGAGGAGATGATAAAGAACTTCAAGCCCGAAGACTTCGCTGATAATGTTACTTGTTCCGAGGCCTCTAAAGCAGATAAAGAGGAAGAGGCAGAGTCGCGAGATGTAGATGGGTTATTACATGATATCTCTGATCTACTGGAGACTTTGAGCTCGTACCAAAAAATCCGCAATTTGGACGTCTCAGCCCCGAACACTCAGGGCCCCGAGCCTAGAGAAACAGAGTCCGACTCGAGGAGTCCAGACACCCCTTCTACAGATGAGCTGGGTGTATATGAAACACTGAGGTCAAGTCTGGCGGCTCTCATTTCCAATTTACCTCCATATGCAGTTGCAAAGTTAAACGGCGATCAGCTGGACGAGCTGAATATAAGCCAGAAAATCGTCATCGAGAACCCGGATTATCGGGGAACCATGGAGAAGGACGACTTTACAGCGCACCAGGAGCGAAGCGCGGCCATGGCCCCAATGAGTGGTGCTGCGAATCGAACTTCGACGCCATCGCGGTACAATTCGCGGGCATATAGTTCTGGCCCTCGGGTCCAATCGCAGGGTGGCTTTACTCAACAGCCATACTATAGTGGAAGGCAGCCCTCAACTTCCGGACCATACACTCCAGGCCATCCACAACAATACGCCGGAGCACGGCCACCAACAACACCTTCACAACGACCCGGATATGTTTCGGGATACTCTCAGCCCACTCCTCAGTTCAATCAGCAATTCCAGCGACCAGGACAAAATGGGTATGCTTCGTACTCGGCTCAGCAAGGGCCGGCCGCCCAAGCTTCGCCACAGCCCTACACGCCGCGCCCCGCACAACCAGGGGCATACAACGCTTCCTACGCAGCTGGGCGCAGTGCTTCTCCTCAGAAGCAAGCATCATATGCGGCTCCACGAACACCATACATGACGCCGGGCTCTAATAACCCTCAGCAGCGGTTCATACCGCAGCAGCAACAACAACAACAACAATCACAACAGCAACCGCAACCGCAACCGCAACCGCAACAACAACCGCAACAGCAACCGCAACAGCAACCGCAACAACAACCTCCGCCATACGGCAACTATCCTTCCAACCAAGCTCCTCCACAATCAGCAGCATATTCCAACTCAGCAGCTGCCATGACTTACGCGCGAAGTGCCGCTGAACAAGCCGCACTGATGGAGAGGAACAGAACCCAACTTGCTGCTCACGCGAGACAGAGCTCAACACCACAACCACCAACCGAAGGCAGCTCTCAGGATCGAAGCGTAACACCCGGTAACAAACAGAACGGCAATCCGGTCCCTTCATGAGTCAAGCGAGTATCATCGACGTTTTGGAGCTGTCTTTCCATGCTTATGTTCACCCTTGTCTTTAGAAAAAGGAAGCCTCGGTTAATGGTGTTACACTTTTATGATTTGTATTTGACCCTTTGTGACTTTGCCCCTCTTGTCGTTTTCTTCTTTCCGTTCCCTAATTCATTATATTCTCTTGATTTCTCAAAGCTACGGGTCATTAGATTTGAGAATGAGAAAGGAAGAGCGGTTTTGGCTCCTCTTCTGAAGTTACATCTATAACAATATTGCGACGAGTATTGGCTGGTGTGTGTAGGCGTGTTGATTCCCTGCTGCTCTGATTTCCCTTTGACGAACCCTGTTGCCATCTCCTTATGAGGTGGAGATCAGCGAATGGCGCGGATTGATTCCAAGATTGGTCTGGTTTCTCGTGGGCGGAGTGTCTCTATTACTTTCGTGGCTACACGCTTTTCACTTAGAAATGCTATGTATTAGTTTATTTGCAAGTTCTACTTCAAGTACTACTTATTCGGGGTTGTAACGAGATATTCAAGAAAGCCGAGAGGGCCCTAGTAAACCCTAGATTGTCTGCCATCGGAACCACCTGCAGTATCCTAAACGCCACCTTTGACCAGTCCCCGTTCCATAAATATTAGTACTTAATCAACATGAGTAATAGAAGGCATAAATTCATCACTGCTAATTCGTAAATCATCATACAACCACTTTTCATGTTTTCGTGATCACCCCACTCAAGGTATAAACATTGCGGCTATGGTCATGAATCCGAAATATCTGCAAATAAACAGTTAGGCTTCTAGTTCTTCATAGGGGAATTCGAGGATAGCAACATACAATGTAGCAATTCTCCACCCATCGTGAGAAGCAACGAGTTTCTCAGCACTGGCTGCAGAATTGGACGCAATCGCAGACGCAGCGCCGCCCACCATCGCGACGACGAGAAGACGTCCTGAAAATTCCGCGATCATGCTAAAGGCGAGCAGTGGAAGGAGAATAGCAGCGGAAGCGATGATGATCGCCGAGAAGGCAGAGGCGGCGTTGGATGTCGATCGCATGGTGAGAGAGATGAGGTCTTTGTTGTGCTCTAGGAAACGGGTCTCGGCGACTGCGACGGGGGCATTGTCTTTCATCCAAGTGCGATATGTGTCGATATCTTTATCCGACGCGCTGGGGAGCGTCTGGATGACTTTACTATATGCACTAAGGGCGTTATCTTGTTTTGGTTAGATTTGGAACGCTGTCTGTGTTTCGTCTCAGGATACTCACTGTATTGCTGGGTCTTTTGTACTAATGCTGCCATCAACTCTTCCCGCCGGTAATGCAGGGATGAAAAGACCTGTGCTTGGGCATCCATGCGTCTTGAAGCAGGTACAATGTTTGTCCCTTCTTGTTCTGCGGTTGCTACGCGATGCATTTCTTCGTATTCATCTAATACGTGCAGTTCCTCTTCCATCTGTGCGATTTCATCCTGGAGATGAAGGAGCACACGGTGGTTTAGGTCTTCAAATCGTCGGTAAAGCGGGGGAAGAGATGGCTCTTCCTTGTCCACTGATGAGCTCAGCTGCCAGCTGAGAAGTCCATAGCCGGAAGGAATGGATGAGGATTTTGTATTTCGCCTTGACTTCCTGTTGATACGGTGGGGATCCTCCTCAGGGCTTTGTGGCGGGGACGGGGGAAATGGAGGATGGAAAGATGTGGGATCTCGAGAGGGCTCGTAAGACTCTGGCATTGGACTCAGACGCAATTTCCGCTTGTCGGAGTTGTTCGACTCCTCTGTCAGATAACCCTCCATGGACATTTTGCGCCGAGCCGTGCTGTTTTTCGTAGATAATTCAAGCAGACCGGGTACTTGGTAGGAATCCATTGAGCCTTTCGATCGTACAGATGATGTTCGACTCGGGGCACCCATGCCTTGCACTGTCATGTTCGTCTGGCGCGCAAGTCTGACGTGCGGATTCTTGAACGATCCACCAGACCTGGTTGGGTTGCTGTTGGGGGCATCATCATCATCATCATCCTCCTCCTCCTCTACGTAGGAATCGTCGGAGTCAGTGTCGGAATCCGATTCAAGGTACTCGAACACATCAGGAACTTTCTTCTCCGGTTCAGCCGCTTTTAAAGTAGGATTTCTTGCAGCTTGTGTATTCTGCGCCTTTTTGGAACTTGAGACGTTGCCCTTTGATCCAGTGGGCTGCTCTGGGGTACTCTTCTTCTTCGTGGCGGCGTCTACGAAAGATCGCGAGCTTTTTGAAGTAGAATGGGACTTCCCAGAGACAACTGACGCTGTAGACGCTTTATTGCCGCCATCTTTGGAAGCTTTCTTAGAGCGCCTGGATCCTGAATAGAGCAACATTGTCAATCAGACGGGAAGTAGCAGAAGACTTGGTCGAGTTGAATTTGAAGGAGAAACTTTTCATTTGTAGACCGTGACCCGTAAGCATCGAAATGATGGAGTCATGCGGACAGACACAGTCCACGAATGTTTTTTCGGAGGGGCTAACAGACAAGAGACATAACAAGGGAGAGGGCAGGGCCGCTCTCGCAGTAGAGAAAAAAAATATGGATATCACTTTCGACGGAATGTAGGATAGAGAATGTAGGCTTGAATTCTTTTCAGTTTCACGGGAGCAAATAGCACAGACAGCGCGTGCGTGGGCGTCAAATCGGAGCTGATAGAGTCTATCGACGAGCCGATGTATACATACCGACAAGCGAAGCCCTTGCGCGTAGATCGGGAACAGAAGGACTGAGAGGATGACCCGTCAGCAACTAGTCGTATTCAATAAATAGATTAATCTCAAATTCCGCCCCAAAGAAGAAAGTGATCATGTTGGGGCTAAACCGAAAGCAAAGAATAGATCCAACTTGACCGTCAGCCACCCTCACATACTAGTAACTCTTATTTTTGGTGGGGTTTGAACTTTGTGGATGGTTTGGATGTTGAAGATCATCGGATGAGTCCAAACTCAATCCGGTTAAAGGGAGACACTTCTTTCTTTCTCTCTTTCTCTCTTTCTCTCTTTTTAGTGATTTTATTCTTCGCGGAGAATCTCGTTCGAGTGGAAGAAAAAGAAAGGGTATAGAAGAGGAGCGCTCAAATATAGAAGATAGAATATATAAGTAGTAATAATATCATCGGGTCAAGAACCGATGTGTTGGCTGCACTGCATTGGCTTACCTCATTCTCATTCTTCTGGGTGTAAATTAATTTAATTGATGGATAGAGATTCGTCATCGGCAAACCATTTCTTTCACTAATATATATATATATATATATATATGTTCAATAAGATAGAGTAATAATTCCATTGTATGTACTTATGTATGTATGATTAGCTGCACAAGAAGATTAGTAGTAGTACTGTGTACTACAGTACAATGTATGGCAGTCAGGTGGATATGGGACAAACAAGACATTCTTCCCGCCTTCTTAACCTTCCCTGACGGATCCAACCATATTGATCTTTTGTTTTTCTCTCTCAGTAAATTGAACATTGACCCGTTCTTATTTATTCCAACACCCACTTCTCCGAAAGGAGATTACTATATCCACATCCATCTATTTATCCATAAAAACACTTCCGTCTCTCCCCATATGCTCCGCCCCTGGCTGCGCCAATCGACTCGAGCCGCCCGCTCTCTTCCTTGTCCCCCATGCCCCCGGCCCCATAGCTCTCGACTGCCCACCCTCACGAATCCGTCTAGTTCGATTCGGCGTTTACAGACGTCAGCCCTAGAGTCGCAGGACCGTGTACCACTACGGAAGCAGCTCAAACAAAATGCGAAGGCCTTAAAAGCCGAGAAGCGTCAGAGAAGGGAGAACGAGGAGGCTTCGCGACAAAAATGGGAGCTCACTGTCGGCATTGAGATTCATGCGCAGTTGAATACCGAGAATAAGCTATTTTCACGTGCGATCACAACTTTCTTTTTATGACAAGCATGGATCTGACTTGGGTTCGACCCAGGGGCTCCGACATCATCCACCGACCTACCCAACTCCAATGTTGCGCTGTTTGACCTGGCTTTCCCAGGCAGTCAGCCGGTTAGTTTTCGAGATCAGATTTTCGATAATCAGTGGAGGCTGAACTGCTTTAGGAATTCCAAGTTGCAACTCTGTTACCTGCCCTCCGCGCCGCCCTCGCTCTGAACTGTGATATTCAGCCTGTGAGCAGATTCGATCGGAAACACTACTTCTATCATGACCAGCCAGCCGGATACCAAATTACACAATACTATGGTGAATATAAAATTGCTCCAGAGTTGTGACCGTGGGCTAACCCTCGCAGAACCTTTTGCAAGAAACGGCTATGTCGATTTGTTCGGCTACGATGGGATCGCGCCAGAAGATGGTGATCACGTTCGCATCGGCATTAAGCAGGTACAGCTAGAACAGGACACGGCCAAATCACAGGAGTACCCTCCCTCCACGCAGCTGATTGATTTTAACCGCGTATCCCACCCCCTGGTCGAAATCATTACGATGCCCCAGATCCACACGCCCGCCACGGCTGCAGCGTGCGTCCGGAAGATTCAGGCAATCCTTCAATCGTGTAGCGCAGTCACCACCGGTATGGAATTGGGAGGTCTCCGAGCCGATGTGAATGTCTCGATCCGTCAGCGGGGTGATGTCGAGGGTGCGCATCAGTATGGCGGGATCGGTGGTCTCGGTCAGCGCACGGAGATCAAGAACTTGAGCAGCTTCAAGGCTGTCGAGGATGCCATCATTGCAGAAAAGAACCGCCAGATTGCTGTGCTAGAAAGTGGTGGGGTCGTGGAAGGTGAGACCCGTGGCTGGACGATTGGGAGCACGGAAACACGGAAACTTCGAGGCAAGGAAGGCGAAGTGGACTACCGGTATATGCCAGATCCGGATCTACCACCGCTACTCATCGGGGCTGATCTCGTGTCGGAACTGGCCAACACGTTACCGACTTCCTCGGACAAGTTGATTGGGCTGTTGATGAGTAAAGAGTACGGCCTCTCGATTGAAGACGCCAAGCCGCTCGTTGAGCTAGAGGATGGAGCTCGGCTGGAGTACTACCAGGACGTGGTGGATATTCTGCACGATCTGCAGCAAGACCAGGATCCAAAGAGCCGTGGGGGCCTGGCACGCGTTGCCGGAAATTGGGTTCTTCACGAGCTTGGGGGCCTTCTGACTAAAGCGGACCTTCCTTGGGATGTAGAACGAGTCTCTGCGCTATCTCTGGCTCAGATCATTGATCAAGTCCAGCGAAAGCGAATCACCGGTCCTACCGCCAAGCAGGTGCTGGCCATGGTATTCGACGGAGACACTCGGGCGATTCCTCAATTACTGGAAGAGGAGAACCTGCTTCTTCGGCCTCTCTCGCGAGAGGAATACGTTGCGTTGGCTGAAGCAGCAATCAGCCAAAACCCGCAAATGGTCGAGCAGATCCGGACCAAGAACCAACTCGGTAAACTGGGTTGGTTTGTTGGACAGATGATGCGCATGGGCGAAAAGGGCCGCGTGGAAGCGCCCAAGGCGGATGCGATCCTCCGGGAGCTGATTCTGGGGCCGTCTGGTCCTTGAGTGTATTTGTAAAGATCAGTCATGATCGATAATCCCTTCACGGAATGTATAGATAACGTCATAGCCATAATGATGATACCCGTTTCGTTTCCCGCACTTTATTAAACGTGAAACAACGACCTTGTAAAATCCCGTCCTATCTCACTCCTATCACAAGAATGAATAAAATTGCTAATAAAAACTTGAGGGGGTGGAGTGGGATGGTGACGCCGTCGCGGGCATCTCTCCTCCACCTGTACTTAGGGGAAGCCCTCGATCCCTAAAAGCAGGTCTTAGCGATCCTCCAAGGAATGTCCGCGGATTACGCCCCACGATGTCTTCCCTACTTAAAGAACCTCAATTCCCCTGTTGGTCGACTTCTATTTTGTATTCTTTTCCATATTCTCATATTCTCATATTCATAGTCATACTATCTCTCTCATCGAATCCTCCTTTTGTCCCGTCATTCATTGTTGGTGGTTTTCGACCCTTCGGAAGAGATTCCCCACTTGCAAGATCTTATCTTTTTAGTCCGCTTCTAGAATCTTTTTTCTCCCCTCTATCAGATCAAGGCTCTCTCGTCAAATCCCCTTTCTCTCTCTCTCTCTCTCTCTCTCTCTCTCTCTCTCTCTCTCTCTCTCTCTCTCTCTCTCTCTCTCTCTCT